GGCCAGAAGAAGACATCAGTTGGATTCCCTGGGACTGTAGTTACAGATGATTCTGAGCTTCCATGTGGGTGCCAGTAAACTGAAACTGGGTCTTCTGCAAGAGCAGTCTGTGCTCTTAACCACTAAGTCATCTCTCCAGCCCTTGGAGTTCAGTGTTAAATTGAGAAAAGAGCTGGGTATGGTGGTTCCTGTGTATAATCCCAGCATCTGGAAGTTGGAAGCAGGAGCATCAGAAGTGCAAAGTCATCTTCTACTACCAATTCAACTTGCGATCAGCCTGGGGTACTTGAGAGAGAGAGAGAGAGAGAGAGAGAGAGAGAGAGAGAGAGAGAGAGAGAGAGAGAGAGAGGGAGGAATGAGGGGAGGGAGAAAAGTACAGGAAGGGGCAGAGCGTATGAATGAATAAGAATGAGAATGAGCCATCTAGGATCAGGAAAAACAACCCGTGGGAAAATGCTGAGAACCGGAAATTGCCTTTTTTTTTTTTTCTGGAGAGTGTCTGGAAGGACCCTGTGGTGCCTGGGTCCTGGGACCTTGCAAAGCAGAGTGGCTAATTGAAACAGCATAGACAACACCCACCTTCTGATCAGGTCAAATTAAAATTCAAGGATTACCTCAACTTCGCCATGGGAATTTTACAATGGAAGGAACCAGAGATGCACAACCTCCTTGTTTGTATTTAGTGGTTTTCCAAACATCAAGCTTTCATTGATTTCTCTGGCTCCCATCCAGCTGCCACTGCTGTGTGTAAACACACACTGGGTGAGCCTTTTGTTGTCTCGGAAAGGAGAGCATATGGGCTCCGACAGCCAACCTTATTTTCATTTATTACTCTATTTATGACTACATCCAAGATAAGACAAAATTTCCTGGTAGCTAGCGTAACAGACAGTAATAGACGTGGTCTCTGACCACTGTGTGGGCCTCTGTGTGCTTCCTACACTTCCTAAGTCTGGTGTCGTGGAATTGACAGACACAGAGCTAATCTGGCACTAAATGGATTTCTATTAACAGTACAAAAAGGCTTGTAACTTTAGGTGTCTTCAGGTTGCTGTTCAAATGGGGTTGTTGTGTCTTCATTGTTTTTACGTTTGGGGTGATTATGAACTGCTGGGTCTCAAGTGGGAGGGTCTGGAGAGAGTGAGTCCTTGGATCTGCTTCATGCGCTTGATTTCAGGTCTTTGGAGTTATTTTATTTAATTACAATTATGAGGTAATGGTATTTTCTGCTCTTGCAGAGGAAGAAATCAGCTATTAAAGGTAGCTCCTGTCATCATCCCTGCCATCCTCACCGTCACCACCACCAATGCCAATGATCTTTGTAGTATTAGGGAGGGCACACGGGCCCTAGCCTGTGCTAGTAATTTTCTGCAGTGTTAGGGATGGAATTTTGGTCTTGTCTATGCCAGGCAAGTGATCTACCACTAAGCTCTTTTCCAGTCTAAGAAAATGCCTGTTTGAATCTAGGTCTCAGCATTTGGGAGGTAGAGGCAGGAGGAGTTCAGGACCACCTTTGGCTGCATAGTAAGTTTGAGGCCAACCTGGGCTGAGTTAGACCTTGAATATAATGATCAAGCGGATAGCATGCTTAGATGTTTGTGCAGTCAGCTCCTTGGCTCTGTAAGTTTCTCTTCTGTGGATGTGACCAACTATAGGTCAGAAATATAAAAAGCTGTGTCTTTTATAAGTATGCATGCATTTTTCCTCATCATTACCCCTCAGATACTGCAGCTTAACTGTGACATTTATGCTATGGATTTCTATCGCATCCGAGGATGATAACATATACCATTGGTACCTTACTGAATATGATAAGGATCCTAGGGAGGCTTTGAAGTACATGAAGGCACATGTTTAAATTATATGCAAAGACTGCCGTTTGAGATGAGGGCCTTGAGGTTTTTGTCTCTGAAGGTGCCATTTGAATCAGTCCTTCTCTCACATTGAGTCGTAGCTGTTATCTTTATGAAGCCTAAGGATGAGGACCTGTCTTCAGAGAGACACCGCTGTCGTGCAGACCAAGGTGTGAGTAAAAAAGGAGCTCTCGCTTCAGTGGAATTCATAGGAATCCTGGGAGAAGCTGAAGAAGAGGACTTGGATCAGGCATAGATACGCATCTCTTCCTGTAATCACAGCTCTCCAATTCCCTAATTAGGAAGGGTGAGAGGCAGGAGGATTCTCACGAGTTTGACACTAGCCTGGGCAACACTAGCAGGATCGTGAAAAGAAACAAATGAAAGGCTTTGGTTATGTTTTTATTCATAACTAAGTGCAGATTGCTTCTTGTGCCAGTCAGATTGCCTTCAAAGATCCACAGACTCTCGGCTGCTGTTATATGTGGTTTGTGCGTGTGTGTGCATGAGGATCTGTGTTTACACGTGTGTGCAGGTGTGCATGCTCCTGTATCTGTGTGGGTGTAAGGCCCAAAGTCTCTCTTGACCACTTTTTTTTTTGAGGCAAGATCTCTTGCTGAGCCCAGCACTTGCTAATTCCAGTTAGTCTGCATGGCCAGCTTACCCCACTGTTTTAGGGTTTCTACTGCTGTGGCGAAACGCCATGACCAAAGGCACCTAGGGAGGAAAGGGTTTCTTTCAGGTTGTAGCTTGTAGTCCATCATCCAGAGAAGTCAGGAGCTGATGCAGAGACCATGGAGGAACACCGCTGACTGGCTTGCTCTTCTTGGCTTTCCCAGACTACTTTCTAGTAATACCCAGGACCACCAACGGCCCAGGATGGCACTGCCCACAGTGAACTCGGCCCTCACGCACCAATCATCAATCAAGAAAATGCACCACAGGCTTGCCCATAGACCAGTCGGGTGGAAACTTTTTTTTTTTTTTTTTTAAGTTGAAGTTCCTTTTCAAAAATGATTCTAATTTGTATCGAGTTGACGTAAGACCAGCATCCCCTGTCCCTGCTGCCCCAGTGCTAGGATGGCAGGTGCCAGCACACCTGTCTCACTTTTGCTTGGATTCTTGTCACCCTGACTGGTCTTCACACCTGTGTGGTGTGAGCCCTCTCCCCAGCCCTGTTTGAGTGCTTTGACTGGGAGGACTGAATAAACCAGTGAAAAGCGTGGCGAGGTTTTCTTTCACTTGGAGCTGCCCGGCAGGCTTGAAGTATGGAAGGGTGTCTTCTGAGTCTCGGCTCCCCACGTTATCATGATAAGTTGTTTAAATAATGGACCTGTGAGAAGCTTGCGCTCGGGTTCCCTACCGAGGACTCATGGCTAGCAGAAGCCATTTGCACACCCCGTTAGGAACATGGGGGTGTCCTCAGACGGGAAGGTAGGAGTGGACGAGGGAGCAGAAAAACAGAGCCTCGTTCTGTGGCTTGGGGAACGCCCCTGGAATGCCCCGTGACAGGGTCAAGCCCTCTTATTGCTGCTAGGAGAAGGAGGATGAGATAAAGAGAGTGTGCAGACAAGTAGGAATCCAGCGTGGCCTGTACAGCCATCTTGGGCATAACTACCATTTTGTTTGTTGGGTGACCTTGGCACAGATTCTAAACCCTATGGAATAAATATTTTTTTAAAGTACACAAGGAACTGGGAACATGGTTCAGTGGATAAAGTGCTTGCCATGCAAGCCTGAGAGGACCTGAGCGTGGATCCCAGGCATCCATGTAAGAAGATGTACTTTGGTGTTCCTCTGTAAGCTTAGTGCTCGTGTGTGTCTGTGGGAAGACAGAGGAAGAGTAGGATTCTTGTGGGCTAATTTATTGACAAGCTCAAAGTTCAGTGAGAAACCCTGCCTTAAAATAAGGTGGAAAGCAATATGTAGCTACTCCTGCATATATACACACAAACATGTACCCACGATCAGCTGAGGCCAAGTGTTTTATGACATGCCCAGACTGTCTCTTCACTGATGTTGGGGTTTTAATAGTTTTTCTTTATTTCTAGTGATGGAGATTCAACTTGAGTCTTTGTACGCAACCAAGCAAATGTTCTACCATGGACTTAACGAGCTCTCCTACTTTGTTAATACTTTTTGAGAAGTCTGCTACATCTTGGCTGATGGCTGTCCAACTTTTGTCCGCCTTCACATGTAGTTCCCTTTGTTCTGTCTTGGTATTTTGGGGTCCTCCTGTCTTGCTGCCTCTCAGGGTATGCTTCTTTCTACCAGTCTATATTATTGTCGTCTGTGTGATTCTGAGCTCGCTTTCTCTGGTCTCGCAGTGCCTTCTGCCACAGAGCCCAGTTCTCATGCCGCATTCGCCACTTCTCTTTGGCACCTTCTGCTTTTGTGACTGTTTTAGATGCATTGGGGTTTTTGCAAAACAGGACTTTGACAGAAAAATTCCAGCGCTGTGTGAGTAGAGTCCTGGATCAGGCGGTAGTTAGAGTAAGGCACTCTGCCCACTCAGGGCTGGGTGGATACCCCTGTGGAGAAATCGATGCCTGGGGCTGGTGACAGTGGGCAAGACATCTATAATTCATGATGTTTGGTGGGAGGTGGATGGGAGATTGCTCCATAGAGGACTTTGCTGACGATTTTGGGGAGCCAGAGAGAAAGGATGAAATGATCAGAATGCCCCTTGCCATCAGGATGGCATGTCTGGAGTCCAGAACACCAGAAAAGTGGCATCCAAGTTTTAAGAAGTCCTTATGACTTCAGACGGGAGAGTCAGAGTTTTGTTACCTGCAGCTTTAGGTGAGACACTTTGCAGATGCCTGTGCCCTTTTCTTGCTCTAACTTAGTTCAAAAGGTTTTCTCACTCCACCCTGCCACAGCCCCAGCCCCAGCCCCACAAAGCTGAAACCCATGCATGCCCTTGAACATTCCAGACAAGTGCTGTATTATTGAGCCTTCTCTAGCCCTGTTAGAATCATTTTGATAAGTTTAGCAGAAGTAAGGCGTGCTGAAGAGATAAGTTGTACTAGATGCTGATCATACCATTGTTTCTATGGAAACTCCCTCTGTAGGAAAAAGCAGTAGACTTCTGGGAGGAGGCACATATCTCAGTCTCTACCCCCAGAAAGCCCGGGACTGAAGCCTGGCCCTTGCTCACACTCTGGGTTTGATAATAATAGAGCCCTGTGCTTGGACGAGGTTGTCAAGGACACTACAGATAAGCAGGCGGGTTCCAAATGTAATTTTATGTTAAATAGCTTTTCTGTAGCTCAGAAGTGGGAAAAAGCGAAACAGGAATGGTTCTTAAGGCCTTTGTTGTTTTGAGACAGGGCCTCACTATGTAGTCTGGGCCGGACTAGAACTCAGATGGCCCTGGAACTGAGTTGATCCTCCAGCCTCTGCCTCACAACGGCTTTGATGACAACTGCCTTCCCCTAAGCCCAGAAGTTCTCAGGCATTGATCCACGGTAAGGTGACTTGTGCTGAGTTGGGGAGAGGAGCAAATGAGGGAGGGAGATAGAAAGCTAAGCATTAGAAACTTTTAAATTGGAAATAGTCGTTGCTCAGGCACACGGAGATGATACTCAACACTCTAGAGCTCAGCGTACAGATTCCTCTTCCCCCTCTGTATCTGGCTTTCACGAGTGGCTGTGTATGCATGAACCTTGCATGCATGCGCACACATTCAAACACACTTTTAAAGGGAACTTGTCTTGGCCACTGAGACCACATGATCTCTGTGTGGTTTGGCTTCCCTGGCTGCAGAGAAGGCCCTGTGATTTTGTGTCCATGGCCCCTGAACCCTAGTTTTCAGGCTTCGTTTGTTCATGTGACCCAAGCAGGTGTCCTTCCCTGGGACTTTGGAGATATACTGAAGAAATATATACATCTCTCTTTGCTGCCTGCTCTATCAAGGAACCCCCTGAAGATTAGAGAGGAGATGCTTACCAGGAATGCAGAGACTGGAAAGTTGTGTGCCCATCTGATGTTAGCTACACCACATCCCTTGGAAAGTCAAAACGACATGGTGTTAGATAAGGAAAATTCTGCTCAATAAGTTTAAAGAAGAGTTTCCTGATGATAGAAATTTTTTGAGCATTTCATATCAGGCGAGCTTCCTGCTGCCCAAGGCTGGTTTGTGAGCAGTGTTTCCTGAGGTTATTTGATGGTAGAGTGCTTTGGTTTGTTTCCATGAGGGGTGTGTGTGTGTGTGTGTGTGTGTGAGAGAGAGAGAGAGAGAGAGAGAGAGAGAGAGAGAGAGAGAGAGAGAGAGAGAGAGAGAGANGAGAGAGAGAGAGAGAGAGAGAGAGAGAGAGAGAGAGAGAGAGAGAGAGAGAGAGAGAGAGAGAGCTCTGCATGGGGACCAGTGTGAACTGCTGCTGGAAGATGACCTTCATAGTGGTGGTGTCATTGGGAGCTTCCAACCACTGACATTCTGTTTCCTCTCCTTTCCTTCCCTGCCTCTATCTTTCTGAGTTTGATTTCTGTGAAAAGGTCTCATGAAGCCCAAGCTGTCCTGAAATTGCTTTGTAGCCAAGGCTGCCTTGAACTCTAGGCCCTGCCTCCACGATCACATGCTCGGATTCTAGGCATGTGGCATCAAGTCTGCCATGCCCAGCTCCCTGAGCTTTCTTGATGTTTTAGATTATTAAGGGGAGCTGGAGAGATGGCTCGGAGGTTAAGAGCACTGGCTGCTCTTCCAGAGATCCTGAGTTCAATTCCCAGCAACCACATGGTGGCTCACAGCCATCTATAATGAGATCTAGTGCCCTCTTCTGGCCTGCAGGCATATGTGTGGGTAGGGTACTCATACATAAATTAAATAAATAAATCTTCAAAAAAAAAAAAAAA